CAACAAGATTTGGCATGACTTTTCTTAAAGGGCCAAAGAGTACATTTTTTGGCTTTATGGATCCAGTGGTATCTGTTGCAACTACTCAGCTCTGCTGTTCTGTTGGAAAAGTAGCCACAGACAACATATAAATGAATGGACATAGCTGTGTGCCAATAAAACTTTATTTACTAAAACTGGCCTTTGTTCTGTGGCTCCTTGCATCCTCATACATCAGCTGGGGATGTCCCTCCACTTAGAAACCGAGGTCTAGAAAGAGGCGGTCACGGAAGTGAGCATGAGAGAATCGAAACATTGGGATTTATTTGCTACAGCGGCCAGCATTATTCTAAAGTGGCGTTTCCCAGCGACATGGGAGGTATCTGGAGACACTGTTGGCTGCCTCACTGGGCAGGTGCTGCTGGCATCTGCGAATAACACCCCACACTGCACAGGATGGCCTCTGTGTAAGGAGTTGTCTGGCCCGTAATGTCCATAGAAACCCTATGCTAGCTTAACAATCTCCCCTCTTAACAATCATTTTACCTATTTATCTTTTCCCCCACCATTGAGTAAGTTCACATTTCTCAGCCAAGGAGGGAGAAGGGGCTTTCTGGTCAGGGCAAGCGGGGTGTGGGAATTGTTCAGCATGGAGTCTGCTTATCATTTACTGATTGTTTTGGCCTTGCCTGATGGGTGGGCAGAGCATGTGACTTCAAAACTGACCTTCTGGAATGAGCACACGCATCAAGGTTTCAGATGGATCCACTCCTTGAACTTTAAGGTCAGGTTACCCTGGAGAAGAGTGAGGCTGATGCCGAGTTCTAGGAGTTTTATTGGCTGTTGACAACCTGGTGGTGATGGTGAGAAATTATTATTTTATTACTGGTGCTGATTGTGATGCTCTACTTTTCAAGGTCTAGCCCCGTGCACTTTGATGTTCTGTCAGCACGCTAGGCACAGTCCTGCCTCAGGGCCTTTGCACATGCTGGGGCCAGTCTTCTCCCAGGTGCTCACATAATTTCTTCCTTGACTCCTTCACATCTCGGCTTTAATGTCACTTCATCAGAGGTGGCTTCTCTCACCACCCTATTTAAAATCTCACCCTCACTCCATCAGATTCTCTGCAGCCTGCACATACATCAGGGACAGCCTGGACATTTGAATGACAAAGACAGAGGGGCATGCACAGGTAAGGCAAAGTGAATGGACAAGCAGCTGTTTCTATTGCTTTTAGGAGGAAAGAGAATGGACTCCCCCTTTTCATGGAGATGTGTTAGTGTTGAACTGTGTCCCCCTAGATTCATGTGTTGTAGCCCTAATCCTTAGTACCTCACAGTGTGGCTGTATTTGGAGACTGGGCCGTTAATGAGATAATTAAGTTAAAATGAACCCATGAGGGTGGATACTAATTTAAAATGACTGAGATCCCCATAAGGAGAGATTAGGACTGCAGAGAGACACCAGAGGTGTGTCTGCAAACCAAGAAGAGAAACCTCAGGAGAAACTGGCTCGGCCTGCACTTGACCGTGGACGTCTGGCTGCTTAGCCAGTGGCACCGGGTCACAGCAGCCCAAGCTGACCAACACAGGACATAGCCCCGCTGGTGCCCGTGTCTGTGCGTTCCAGCTGTCAACCTCATCAGAGCCTGGCAGGGCCCCATGTCACAGCTGGGGACCTTCAAGCTTAGAGAAGTGGATGGCCTCTCCTCCAGGTGGGATGTGGCAGAACCGGGATGGGCTGCCTCAGTCTGGGACCACAGAGTGGGGCAGGGGTTGCGTGGTGAAGGTCAGAGGCCCAGGACTGTGGGCTGACTGAGGGATTTCACCCTGAGGGCATGGTGGGGTGGGACTCCCATCGGGAAGGGCTGGCCCCAGATGGGAACAAAGCACCTCTGGGGAGGAAGGAAGGCGAGGTGGATGGGTGTGGATGGGGGTTTGGTACAGGTTGCGAGGGCACAGCATGGACCCTGTGACTTCTTTTCCTTTCAGGAGTGCAGAGGAGGTCGCCAGCTGGGTGTGTGTGAGGTGGAGCTGGGAGCCCGTGGGAGTTGAGGAGAATTGGGAGGGGCTGTGAATCCAGCTATGGGGAGCAACTGAGAGACAACTGAAGAGGAATTAGGGGAAGCATGTTCCCGGCTCCTGGAGATCTCATATGAAAGCCCGGTGGTAGTGTCTGACATGTCTCAGCCAGCTGGAGCCTTTCTCAGGCTGCCTGTGGCCCAGAGATGTGCAGGGATTGAGCCCAGAGGAGGAAGGGCGGGTGCCCTGGTGGTTAGGACCGTGAGCTGCAGCTGTTCTGGAAGCAGATGCTGAAAAGGAGTTGGGGTGTGATGTGTTTGTTAGAGCAGATCACCAGATTTCAATAGTAATGCATGCTGGTTGGCGGGCTTGGATGTCCATCTCCAAAAAACACATACGAAAGGCCAAGCAGCATTTGAAAAGATATCTGACATCACTAGTCATTAGGTAAGTGCACGTTTAAGCCACACTGAGATACCACCTCACACCCATTAGACTGCCTATTATTAAAAGCAAGAGAAAAATTAAAAATAGCAATGCTGGTCAGGATGTGGGGACACTGGAACACTTGTGCGTTGCTATGTGAATGTGAAGTGGTGCAGAAGTTGAGGAAAACAGCTTGTTGGTGCCTCAGAAAGTTAAATGGTTACCATCTGACCCAGGCATTTGACTTCTGGGTATAGTCTCAAAAGAATTGAAAATGATGTTTATTTTATTTTATTTTATTTTTAAAATATATTTTATTGATTATGACATTACAGTTGTTCCAGTTTCCCCCCTTTATTTCCCTTTGCCATGCACACCCCCTCCCACCTGCATTTCCCCCCTTTAGGTCATGTCCATGGGTAGTACATATAAGTCCTTTGGCTTCTACATTTCCTATACTATTCTTAATCCTACCCCACCCAGCCGTCTATTTTCTACCTACCATTTATGCTACTTATTCTCTGTACCCTTTTCCCCCTCTCTCCTCCCCCTCCCCTGCTGATAACCCTCCATATGATCTCCATTCTGTGATTCTGTTCTTGTTCTGGTTGTTTGCTTAGTTTGCTTTTGTTTTAGATTTGGTTGTTAATAGCTGTGAGTTTGTTGTCATTTTACTGTTCATATTTTTTATCTTTTTTTTCTTAGGTAAGTCTCTTTAACATTTCATATAATAAGGGCTTGGTGATGATGAACTCCTTTAACTTGACCTTATCTGGGGAGCACTTTATCTGCCCTTTCATTCTAAATGATAGCTTTGCTGGATAGAGTCATCTTGGATGTAGGTCCTCTTTGCCTTTCATGACTTTGAATACTTCTTTCCGGCCCCCTCTTGCCTACAAGATGTCTTTAGAGAAATCAGCTGATAGTCTTATGGGAACTCCTTTGTAGGTAACTGTCTCTTTTTCTCTTGCTGCTTTTAAGCTTCTTTCCTCATTTTTAATCTTGGGAAATGTCATTATGATGTACCTTGGTGTGTTCCTCCTTGGGTCCGACTTCTTTGGGATTCTCTGAGCTTCCTGGACTTCCTGGAAGTTTATTTCCTTTGCCAGATTGGGGAAGTTCTCTTTCATTATTTGTTCAAATAAGTTTTCAATTTCTTGCTCTTCCTCTTCTCCTTCTGGCACCCCTGTGATTCAGATGTTGGAATGTTTAAAGTTATCCTGGAAGTTCCTAAGCCTCTCTTCATTTTTTTGAATTCTTGTTTCTTCATTATGTTCTGGTTGAATGTTTCTTTCTTCCTTCTGGTCTAAATTGTTGATTTGAGTCCCAGTTTCCTTCCTGTCACTGTTGGTTCCCTGTACATTTTCCTTTACTTCACCTAGCATAGCCTTCACTTTTCCCTCTAATTTGTGACCATATTCAGCCAATTCTGTGAGCATCCTGATCACCAGTGTTTTGAACTGTGCATCTGATAGGTTGGCTATCTCTTCCTTGCTTATTTGTATTTTTTCTGGAGCTTTGATCTGTTCTTTCATTTGGGCCATTTTTTTTTTTTTTTTGTCATGGCATGCCTATTATATAGTAAGGGGCAGAGCCTTAGGTGTTCACCAGAGCGGGGAAACCCAGTTGGCTGCTTTGTGGCACTGTATGTGAGGAAGGGGTCTGAGAGGGAACAATGTCACTGCTCAGCTCTCAGCCAGCTTTCATTCACTTCCCCTGCTACCCACAAGCAAAGTGAGCCCTTCTGGTGCACGTCCTGGGTGGGTGGGCTTGTGTATGTTCTAGGACCCTGTGAGCCACTCCAAGAAACTCTCCTGTGAGGCTGGGCAGTTTCTCCACTGCTGCCTCAACCCCCACAGGTGTTTTCAGTTAGAGGTTTGAGGTTTTATTTCCCCGCACTGGGACCCTGGTTTGTGCGGTCTGTCTCACTCCCCAGTCATTCCTCCCAGTTTATCTGTGCATGGATGTGGGACCATTATTTTGTAATCTGCCACCTCGCTGCATCCACAGCTTGCCACCGCTTACTGCATGTCCTCTCTGCCTGGCTGCCCGGCTCTGCCCCTCCTGCCGGTCTAGATGAATATTTCTTCTTTAACTCCTTTGTTGTTGGACTTCTGTACAGTTCGATTTTCTGTCAGTTCTGGTGGTTTTTTGTTTTTAAATTTGTTGTTGTCCTTTTGGTTGTGTGAGGAGACACAGTGTGTCTACTTACACCTCCATCTTGGCCGCAAGTCCTTAAAAATCTGAAAATGATGTTTAAACAAAACACTATACCACATGCTTATAGCAGCACTATTCACAAAAACCAAATTGTGGAAACAACCCAAATGTCCATTAACCAATGAGTGGATAGACAAAATGTGTTCTATCCAGAGAATGAAATATCACTGAACCACAAAAAGGAGTGAAGCACTGACACTTGCTACAATTTTTTTCTTGTTTTTAAAAATATTTTTATTGAGTCAATTGGGGTGACATTAGCTAATAAAATTATATAGGTTTCAGGCATACAATTCTGTAGTACATCACCTGTATATTGCAGTGTGTGTTTGCCACCCCAAGTGAAGTCTCCTTCTGTTGCCATTCATTCCCTCTCCACCCTCTGCTGCCTCCCTCACCCCATTTCCCTCTGCTAATCAACAGGTTGTTGTCTGTGTCTATGACGTGGTTTTTTTTTTTGGAAGGACTTGGGATAAAAGAAGCAATAGAAGAAGCCACAGAAGTGAGCCAAGGTGGGGTTGCTATTGGTCCACTGGGAAGTCTGAGAAAACGGAGTCTTGGAGACAGGTTCAGGGGGTTAGCCCTGGATGAGCTGCTACTGCCCACTGCTCCCTGGTTGCAAGTCCAGTGGGGACCCTTAGAGTTCTGCAGGTGCATGTCTGTGGAGGAAGCAAAGGAGAGAGTGTCCCAGAAGGAGGAGTGTGCCAATCTTTTTTGCTTAATCTCTTCACCTTTTTCACCCAGTCCCCCAACCCCCTCCCCCTCTGATATCTGACAGTCTGCTCTCTGTATCTGTGAGTCTGTTTCTATTTTATTAGTTTATTTTGTTTATTAGATTCCACATATGAGTGAGATCATATGGTGCGTGTCTTCCTATGACTGGATTATCTCACTTAGCATAATACTCTCTGGGTCCATCCACACTGTCACAAAGGATAAGATTTCCTTCTTTTTAATGGCAGAGTAGTATCTCATTGTGTAAATGTACCACAGCTTTTTCATCCACTCATCTACTGATAGACACTTGGGCTGCTTCCGGATCTCAGTGATTATAAATAATGCTGTAATGAACATTGGGGTACATGTATTTTTTGAATCAGTGTTTGGGGGTTCTTCAGATAAATTCCCTGAAGTGGAATCACTGGGTCATAAGGCAGATCCATTTTTAATTTTTTTGAGGTATCTCCATACTGCTTTCCACAGTGTCTGCACCAGTCTACATTCCCACCAACATTGCAAAAGGGTTCCCCTTTCTCCACGTCCTCATCAGCACTTGTTTGTTAATTTATTGATGGTGGCCATTCTGACAGGTGTGAGGTGATATCTCAACATGGATGAATCTTGAAAACGTGATGCTCAGTGAGAGAAGCCAGACACAAATGTCATATGTTTTATGGCTCTATTTACACGAAATATCCAAAATAGGTAAATCCATAGACACAGAATGTCAATTCATGGTTGCCAAGAAGGAGAAGAAAGTGGGGGTGGGTGACTGCTTCATGGGTACAAGATTACTTTTTAGGGGTGATAAAAAGTTCTGGAACTAGTTGTAATAGTTGTACGACATTGTAAGTATACCAAGTATCACTGAATTGTTCACTTTAAAATGGTTTTTCTAGTGAATTTCATCTCAGTTTCAACCCTAAACCTAAACCTAATCCTAATCCTAGCTCTAACTTTAACACTAACCTTAAACCTAACTTTAATCCAAATCCTAACTCCAGCATTTACCCTAACCCTAATTAGAACTTAAATCCAAACTCTGACCTCAAAGCTATCTCTAACCATAACCCTAACCAGAACTCTAATCATAAACTCAATCCTAACCCTACCCTTAACCACTAGCATTAACCCTACTCAAGACCTCATCCTAAAACAAAACTTCAACCTAATCCTAAGCATAACTATTACCCGAAACCTAACTCTAGCCTTAATTGAAACTCAAACCCTAAACTCAAACTAATACTGTGACTAAATGTAATTGTAATCATAGTCAACCATACCCCTCATGCTAACCCCAACTCTAATCCTAACCCTAACTGAGAGAGCAAACCCTGACCCTCATCCTAACACTAATCTTAATAAAAAAATACAGATACTATGTACACACACACATACACATATACATATATGTATAAATGCACATGTACACACCCATACACACATACCCATGCATGTACACACACACACACACACACACACACACACACACTGATTTCAGTGTTCACCCAGCCTTATGAGGTATGACTCATATCATGCATGTTAAAACATTTATTTTTGGTTCAGAAATAATTGATATGTGACATATTAGTTTCAGGTGCCTAATGGTTTGATATTTGTGCATGCTTTGAAATGCTCGCCCAGTAAATCTAGTTAACGCCCAGCACCTCATAATGTCACAGTTGTTTTCTCATGATGAAGCCTTTAAACCCCGCTCTGCAGCAGCTTCCGCCTATGCATGTGCGTTTTTAGCTGTGGTCGCCATCTCTGTACGGTGCCCCAGGGCCCATGAATTCATGACGGGGAGTCTGTCTCTTCTGACCACCTCCACCCATTTCCCTGCCCTTCGCCCCCTGCTGCTCACAACCACCAATCTGCTCTCTGGATCTATGAGCTCAGGTTTGTTTTATTTTGTTTTTTTAGCTTCTTCTTATAACGGTATCATGAAGTATCTGCTTTTCTGTCTGACTTATTTCACTCAGTATAATGCCCTCTAGGTCTATGCATGTCATAACTGGTGGGATTTCCTTTTTTTTTTTAAGGGTGGAAAAGATTCCACTGTATAAGTACTACATGTTCTTTCTCTATTCACCTGTCAATGACATTGGGTTGTTTCTGTATCTTGAAGATTGCGGATAATTCTGCAATGATCACAAGGGTGCAGATATCTCTTTGAGAGAGTGTTTTCATTTCCTTTGACTAAATACCCAAGAATGGTAGTACTGGGTCACACAGTATCTGTTTCTGCTTTTCTGAGGAAACTCCATGTTGTTTTCCACAGTGGCTGTGCCATTTTACAACCCCAGCATGAGTACATGAGGGTTCCTTTTTCTCCACATCCTCACCAGCACTTGTTATTTCTTATCTTTTTGATAATTAACTCTGCATATTTTAAATCAGAATATAGTTTCTAGAAGTCAGCTCCTTACTCACCCTTCCACTTAATTATCTGTGCCCTTCAAGCGGAGTCTACAAACCTCGCCGGTGAGAATTGCTGTACAAGCATTCGAAGGAGTAAAAAAGTGCTGGGCAGATGAGCTGTTTTCTTACAAGTTCTAGATTTCACATCACACACGTACCAGCATCTGGAGCCACTACCAGACGGCTGAGTAGATACACTGCTAATAGCTGGGAAGCATCTTCATGTTGCTGTGGCCGACTCCCTGAAGGCTGCAGGTGGTTCTATTTAGCATGCTCCGTCAGCTTCATGGAGTTCACAATGCCTACTTGCCACCACAGACCTGTGGTGCTTAATTCTGTCCTGTTAACATGTCTGCAGCATAACTGTAATCTCTAATGTAATGGTGGTCTCCATTGCCCAGGATGGCTACTGGTTTAATTCTTATGGACTTACTTTGTAATTAGAGATGATGGAAGAATTACTGTATCAGAGATGATACACTTTTATGAGTGTTGGTGTTTTCTTTTTCCAAACTGGTGGTGGTGTCATTAATGTAAAAGCAGGGGACAAGAAGACACCAGATTTGCCTCCTCTCCAACAGGTGCCAAACCACTAGGTGGTCCCCTGTGGCAAGCCACTCTTCCTTGGCCATCTAGTGTGTGATATTTTAAATATCTTATCACATTCTGGTGTTTCATTTTGTTCACAGCCCTTGCTGCTATCTACAATTATCTTTATTATCGCTTCTCCCCGCACATGTTTAGTGCTTGTTTTCTCCACTGCGTTTGACAAGGTGGAGATCTTTTTCACTTTACTTAAGGCCACATGCACCAGTGCGGTGGGTGGAATAATTGCCCCTCCACAGATGTCCACATCTTAATTCCTGCAACCTGTGACTACGTTAGGTTACAGAGGGAAGCGGAATTCAGGTTGCCAGTCAGCTGACCTTGAGATGCAGAGATTATCTGGGATTATCTGGATGAGTTTGGTGCCATTGCAAGCCTCTCAAATGTGGAAGAAAGAGGCAGGAGAAAGAGGGAAGCAGAGGGACAGCATTGTGAGGACTCAGCCTGTTGCTGCTGGCTGTGAAGATGGAGGAAGGACCCACAGGCCAAGGAATGCAGGTGGCCTCCAGAAGCTGGAAAAGGAGAGGGATTTTTCCCCTAGAATGTTCAGAAGGAACATAGCCCTGCCAACTCCTTGATTTTCACTTAGCAAGACAATTTTTAACTTTGGATCTCCTGAACTGAAAGAAATGTAAGAAATGTGTTGTTTTAAGCTACCAGTTTGTTATGGTAGCAATAGGAAATGGACACACCCAACTTGGCTCCGAGGAAATGTTCAGTAAACATTTGTTAAATGAATGATCAGGATGGTGACTTCAAGACAGGGGCTGGAGAAGACAGAGTAACTTTAAGTTAGAGAGGCTATAAGGCAGCCAGAAGTCGGGTAGGTCTCAGAGTCAGTGGGGGAATGCCTGGGTCAGGCAACAAGTGTCAGGGGGCATGGACTTCAAGGTCAGAGCCGGATAGGTGCCTGACTCCCGGAAACACTCAGGAAAGAGCACAGGGGCTCCCTCCCAGTGCTGTTTTCATGGCATCCCGATGATGGTCTTCGCTAAGGGGTCCAAGACTTTCTTCCATTTAAAAAAATTATTTTAAAATTTAAAAAATCCTAAAATTATTTCTTTAAAAAACAGATTTTTATTTATTTACTTTTAGAGAGAAGGGAAGGGAAGGAGAAAGAGAGAGAAACATCTGTGTGTGCTTGTCTCTCACGCACCCGCCCCCAACTAGATACCCCGGCCCACAGAACAGGCATGTGCCCTGATGGGAATTAAACCAGCGACCCTTTGGTTTTAAGGCAGGTGCTCAATCCACGGAGCCACACCAGCCAGGGTCTAAAATAATTTCTTTAAGGCAGTTTCAGGTTTACCGAAAAGTTGAGCAGAAAATAGAGAATTCCCGTATACCTTCTTTTCCCTCTCCCCTCAATTACTTTATTTAGAAGTAATTACTAACATCCTGGGTTAATATGAACACTTGTTACAACTGATGAATCAACATCTTCAACATTATTAACCGAAGCCCATTGTTTACAGGAGGGTTCGCTCTTGGTGTTGTATCTCCTTGGAGTTCCGACAAATGTGTGAAGACATGAATTTACCATTGCTGTGTCACACAGAGCAGACTCACAAACCTAAGAGCCCCCTGTACTCTGCCTGTGCAGCCCCACCTCCCCCTTCCCGGGAAACCACTGATCATTTCACTTCATAGTTTCGCCTTTTTCTGAACAGCATCCAGTTGGAATCATAGAGTATGTAGCCTTTTGGACCAGCTTCCTTCACTGAGTGATGTGTGTTGAAGTGTTCTCCTCCATGTCCTGTTTGTTACTTTAAAAAAAATAATGGATATGGACATGGATATGGATATAGATATGGATATATATATATATATATATATATCCATCCATATATATATCTCCTACCATTTAAACTGTTTTTAGGTATGTTCAGCATTAAATACAATCGCAACATTGTGCGACCATCACCACGATCTGTCTCTGGAACTTTTCTTTGTGTTTATTGAAGTGTAATTGACCAATAAAATTGCAGTGGATGCTTAAAGTGGTAATTTGACCCACATCTACTTTGTGGAATAACCGCAATCAGGTTAGTTAACACACCTATTAACTCACACATTGTGTGTGTGTGTGTGTGTGTGTGTTGAGATGCTCATGTTCTACTCTCTTAGCAGATTCCCAGAATTTTTTTATTCTGAACTGAAATCCTCTACAGTTAAACAGTTTCCCATCATCCCCCTTCTCTAGCCCCCGGTAACTTGGTAACTTCTAATGTACTCTCTCCCTATGAATTTGACTATTGTAGATACTCGAAAGAAGTGGAATAATACCATACTTATCCTTTTGTGTCTGGCCTATTTCACTGAGCATAATATCTTCAGGGTCCATTTATATTATAGCAGGTGTTGGAATTTCCTTTCTTTTAAAAGCTGAATAATATTTTAGCGTGTAGATGGGCCACATTATATCTGTCCATCATCTGCCAGAGGACATGCAAGCTTTGTCTGCTGTTTGGCTGTTGTGGACAATGCTGCTGTGAGCAAGGGTGTAAAAACAACTGCCTTCAATATTTTTTGGGGGGGCATATACCTAACGGTGGAATGGCTGGATCATGTGGGAATCTCTGTGCTTTTGTTTCCTTTTTTTAAAAAACTGACAAATACATCAGGTAAACTGTGGCACCCACCCAAGTTGTTTTCTTGGGTCAAGAGTGAAACTGAACACTTGGCCCGGTGGCAGTTTTTTTCTCTTGGAAACAGTCCCTTCACACCATGTGGTTGCCATTTTTCCCTTCTTATCAGCTCACAAACACACCTTATGTACTATAGATACGAATTTCTTTATTCTGCTTGTTGAATATATTTTCCTGTTCTCTTGCTTGTATTTCTATTTTGGTCATTTCTTTCTGGAGATGTAGATATTTTTATTTTCATGGAGTGAAATCTTGATGCTGTAACTATTTCTTTGGTGACTTGATAACAAATGCTCTCTTGGAAGATTAATTCTTATTCCATTCTATATCCTCATAAGTTGTTTTGGAAGAATAGAACAATTATTAATTTTTAACTTAGCAATTTTTTTAATTTAACAAATTATAGTTAAATGTTCTTTGAGATCCATTCTTTTAAATCTATTCATTAAAGACTCTAGATTTCCCTCTCAAATTACCAGGCAATTATCCCACCCCTTTTTGTTGAGTGATAGTATCAGAGAAAAAAATTTCTCATTCTAAATTACTGGAAGATACTTTAAAAAAATAAATTACTAGATTCAAAAGGGTGGCAGAGGAGGTAGATATCACACTCACCGCCCCCCAGAACCAAACTGGAATTACAACAAAACTATAGAGCAACCAACCTGAAAAACCAACTGAAGACTAGCTGAAGAGAAGTCTCATAACCAAGGATTTACAGAAGAAGCCACATCAAGACAGGTGGGATGGGCAGAGGTGAGAAAAGGGCTGGCCCCACTCCCCTGGCTGGCAGCTGAGATTCTAGAGGGATAAGCATGGGGTCTCCATTCCAAGCCAGTCTCCCCAGCCCAGAGCATCAGATGGGAAGAGGTGCCCACATAATACCTGGCTGTGAAAATCAGTGGGTATTTTTTCCACAAGGGAGAGATGGGAATCTGCTGGAGACACACCCTCTTAAAGGGCCAATGCACAAAATTTCATTTGCAGCCACTTACCCTGGACTCTGATGGAATGGAGTAGAGTCTCCTGAGAAGAGATGGAGGTTTGTGGCTCTGCAGAGAGAGGTGAAGGGGCAGCCATCAGGATTGCTGTGTTGAGCCCTCTCCCACACCACAGACGCCATTTTTCTTGGGTGGAGCATCCCCCTCCATGCAGCATCAGCCTGGGGAAATGCAATAGCCTCATTCTCTGGGCTTCCTGTAATCCACCCCTGCTGAGGAGTCAGCTGCCTGGGCCAGGGCGTGGAGGTCTGGGCAGACTCAGGGGGTGTCCGTGACTAAGTTGTGTGGTTTTGAGGTGGAGACATTCCCCCCACTTTCCTGTGAGCTTGACCGACAGTGCATCCCTTGCATGGGAGATCCACTGTCTCCACCTTCCCAACCTCTGGTGGCTCTGCCCTGCTGAGGTCTGGGCAGAATCTGAGACGGCCTGAGTTGTATGGCTCTGGGGTGGGGGGGTCACTGTTCCCACCTTCCCCAAGCCTGACTGACACCTACTCGTGGGAGATCTACTAGCCCTATCCTCTGGACTGCCCCCGCTGAACTTAGACAGACTCTGGGACAGACTGAGTTGTGTGGCTCTAGTACAGAGTCATTTTTTTCCTCACATGCCCAGCTGGTGCAGAGACCTCCCATCACAGGGACAAATCTTGGTCTGTTTGGGCCAGATAAACTCTACTGACCTCACCTGACTCCCTGAGACTCGGCCCCACCACAAAAGTGTGCAAGCCCCCAGCAGGTGGCAGCTAGACTTGGTGTACCTGGGACATTGGCTGAGTGCACTCAGACCCAGCACTGGCAGCACGTTTGAACCTGTTTCAGTCTGGTGAACACCTCTCGGCCCTCTCTGGTGGCTCACTGAGAATCTGCCTTAGACAACTCGACTACAGCCAGTGACTGAGTGAAACAAGCAGAGGCAGCAGAGGTGGATCTAAGGGATCTACCCTAGGGCATGGTGCAGGTAAAAGCCAGCCTTGGTGTGCTGCTTGGCCCTTCCTATGCACATGTAGGCCCAGCAGAGGCAGCCAAAAACTGTAGATCACTTTGTAGCTCTAAACAGGTTGCCCAGAGTCAGTCACAGGCAGTGTCTGACATTGGTCCACCCCAGAGTCTCTTCCAACAGTCCCAGAACCAACTCACCCTGTGGCCAGCTTCAGACCACATCAGAGTAGGATCTAATTAGCTTCACAAGCAGCATATTTATGGAAAATTTCAGCAGGCACCAGATCCTGCAGAGACAAATTCTGCTCCATGTGGTCAGCACCTGCACAACAGCTCATACAATATGGTCAGGGTTGATCAGCCAGCCTGAGGATTGACCCCATGCATAAATAGGCCACTAGCAATCAAGACTCAATTACAACAGGAGGACCCACATAACCCACACAAGGGACATTTCTAGAGTACCAGGCTCAGGTGATCAAGGAGACTGTACCACTGGACCCCACAGAACACCTAATATATAAATTCACCCTACAAAGACTGGGAGTCATAGTAGATCTAACTAATATATAGAAACAAACACAAAGAGGCAGCCAAATGGTGAGAAAAATAAATCTGCTTCAAATAAAAGAACAGGAGAAATCTCCAGAAAAAGAGCTAAAATGAAAGGAAGCAAGTAATTTATCAGATATAGAGTTTTAAAAAATGGTTCTAAAGAGCCTTAAGGAACTCAATGAGAATTACAACAGCATGAAAAAGGATATAGAGACCATTAAAAAAAACCCAATCAGAAGTGAAGAACACAATATCCAAAATGAAGAATACACTGGAAGAAATAAACAGTAGGTTGGATGAAGCAGAGGATGGATTCAGCAATTCGGAAGACAAAAGTAGCAGAAAACACCCAATTGGAGCAGCAAAATAAAAAATAAATAAAAAATAAATAAGGAGAGTTTAAGGGACCTTTGGGACAACATGAAGTGAAACATTTGCATCATAGAAGAACCAGAAAAAAAAAAGAGATAGAAGGAGGGATTGAGAACTTATTTGAAAAAATAATGACTGAAAACTTCCCTAACCTGGGGCAGGAAAAAGATGTACAAGTCCAGGAAGTGCAGAGAGTCCCAAACAAGCTGAACTCAAAGAAGCACACACCAACACACATCATAATTAAAATGGCAAATTTTATGACAAAGAGAAAATCTAAAAAGCAGCAAGGGAAAGATAGTTACCTGCAAAAGAGCTCCCATAAAACTGACGTCGATTTTTCAACAGAAACGTTTCAGGCCAGAGGGATTCACATGTGAAAGGGTCAGGCCAGCTTTCCGACCTGCCTGATTGCTCATGACTCAGTTATCCCAGCTTGCCTGATAGCTTGAGCTTCATCAAAACTTTCTCCCATTTTGCATAATAGACACCTGGTACCAGCCACAATGGCCAGCAGTCAGACTGACCTTCCTGTACCTGGGAGTAGCCCAGCCCTTTACCTAACCCATGGTCCTGACTGACATCCTGAAACTCTGAGGCAACAGTCTAGAAGAACAAGAAACTAACCCCTACTTTAATCCCCCATGACCCCATGCTTTTTCTTTTAAAAACCTCATTCTTGCCTCCTTCAGCTGCTGCAGTCTGCTCGGACTCAGCTTGCTTGTAGTTTAGCTCCAAATAAGGGCATTTGGATCAGATCATTTGGCTCCTCCCACCTCTATCTCTTGTGCATTTCTAACAGTGTGGAATATTCAAAGTGATGAAACTATTTTAGAATTTAGGCTATCATTTACAATTGAAGGACATATAAAGAGCTTCCATACAAGAAAAAAACTAAAGGACCTTAGCTTTTTTTTTTTTTAATAAGAATTGCTAAAAGGTCTTCTCGAAGAAGAAGAATAGGAAGAGGAAGAAGGAGAAGGAGGAGAAGAAATAAAGGAACATAATTAATAGAATAAAATGGCAATAAATACACACCTACCAATAATTGCTGTAAATGTAAATGGCTTAAATACTCCAATCAAAAGACATAAAGTAGCTAAACTGATAAGAAAACAAGACCCATGTATATGCTGCCTACAAGAGGCCCACCTCAGAACAGAAGATACACACAGACTAAATGTAAAAAGGTAGAAAAAGATATTTCATGCAAATGTAAATAAAAAAAGAGCTGAGGTAGTAATACTTATATCTGAAAAAACAGACTTTAAAGCAAAAACTATAATAAAAGACAAAGAAGGACACTACACAATGATAAAGGAGCAATCCAACAAAAGGAGATAACCCTTGTAAACGTTTATGCACCCAACATAGGAGCACCTAAATTTATAAGACAAATCTTTGTGGACATAAAGGGAGAGATTGAAGGTAATACAGACAGAGTAGGGGATTTTAACACTCAATTGACATCAATGGATAGATCTTCCAGAAAGAAAACCTACCAGGAGACACAGGCCTTAAATGACAGACTAGATCAAATGGATTTAATTGATATCTTCAGAGCATTTCACCCCAAAGTAGCAGAATATACATTCTTTTCAAATGCACATGGAATATTTTCTAGGATAGACCACATGTTAGGATACAAAACAAGTATCAATAAATTTAAGAAGATTGAAATCATATCAAGCATCTTCTCTGATCATAATGTTATGAGACTAGACATGAATTACAAGAAAAAAACTGAAAAACACACAAAGACATGGAGGCTAAATAACATGTTAGTGAACAATGAATGGGTGAACAATGAGATTAAGGAAGAAATGAAAAATACCTTGAAACAAATAAAAAGAAGAACACAACAATCCAAAATCTAAAAGGCACAAGGAAAGCAATCCTAAGAGGGTAGTTCATAGCATTACAGCCCACCTCAGGGAACAAGAAAAATCTCAAATAAACAGTCAAAACTTACACGTAAAAAAAGGAAGTAGAAAAAGAACAACAAACAAAGACCACAGTGAATTCAAAAAAGGAAATAATAAAGATCAGGGCAGAAATGAGTGAAATACAGTCTAGAAAAAAATAGTACAAGAAAAAAAGATAGAAGACCCAAATAAATAAAAACAGAAATGAAAGTGGAGAAGTAACAACTGACACCAAAGAAATGCAAGGGGTTGTATGAAAATGTTACAAACAATTATATGTCAAAACATTGGACAATCTGGACAAAATGGATAAATTTCTAGACATATACAACCTTCCAAAACTGAATCAGGAAGAACCAGAGAATCTGAATAGACAGAGTACACCTAGTGAAATTGAAGCAGTAATAAAAAAAAAACTCCCAACAAACAAAAAGCCTGGGCTGGATGGCTTCACAGGTGAATTTTACCAAACATTTAAAAAACTAACACCTATGCATCTCAAACTATTCCAAAAAATTCAAGAAGAGAGAAGACTTCCATGCTTATTTTATGAGGGTTATTTTATGAGGCCAGCATTATCCTAATTTCAAAACCAAATAAAGACACTGCAAAGGAAGAATAGTATAGGCCAATAGCCCTGATGAATGTAGATGCTAAAATTTTCAGCGAAATATTAGCAAACCAGTTATAGCAATACATTGAAAAGTTCATACACAATGATAAACTGGATTTATACCAGAGATGCAAGTTTGGTACAATATCTTGAAATCAATAAATGTGATACACATCATAATCAAACTGGATAAAAACCACATGATCATATCAATAGGTGAAGAAGTATCATTTGATAAAACCCAGCACCCATTTATGATAAAATCTCTCATAAAGAGGGAATAGAGGGAACGTACCTCAAAGTAATAAAGGTCACAGCCAACATCATACTACATAGGGAAAAATTATAAGCATTTCCCTATAAAGTGAGAACAAGACAGCAATGTCCACTTTCACCTCTCTTATTCAACATAGTACTGGAAGTCCAGCCTCCGCAATCAGACAAGAAGAAGAAATAAAAAGCATCCAAATTGGAAAGGAAGAAGTAAAATTGTCATTATTTACAGATGACATGATACTATATATAGAGAACCCAAAAATTCCACAAAACCCCCCTGCTAGAACTGATAAATGTATTTAGTAATGCAGCAGGATACAAAATTAATATATAGAAATCAGTTGAATTTGTATACACCAATAATAAACTATCTGAAAAGGAAATTAAGAAAACAACCCCATTTACAATTGGACTAAAAATGAAATAACTAGGCATAAATTTAACCAAGAATGTAAAAGACCCATACTTGGAAAATTATAAGACACTGAAGAAAGGAATTGAAGAAGTTATAAATAAGTGGAAGCAATACCATGTTCATGGATAGGAAGAATTAACATCATTAAAATGTCCATACTACCCAAAGCAACCTATAGATATAACACAACTTCTAGCAAGATACCAATGGCATATTTCACAGCCCAAGGACAAATATTCCCTGAGTTGATATGGACCCTGACAAAGGACCCTGAATAGCAATGACGATCTTGAGAGTGGAGTACATAATTGGAGGAATCGTGCAAGCTTATATCAATCTATACTACAAGGCCATTGTAATCAAAACAGCATGGGACTGGCATAAAAACAGATACGTAGATCAATGGAACAGAATAGAGACGCCTGAAATAAACCCATACATATATGATCAATTAATCTATGATAAAGCAGGCAAGAACATAAAATGGGGTAAAGATAGTCTATTCAATGGTGTTTGGAAAATTGGACAGATATGTGCAAAAAATGAAATTAGACCACCTTCTTATACCTTACACAAAATTAACTCACAATGGATTACAGATTTAAATGTTATTATAGATTTGAAACCATAAAAATCCTAGAAGAAAACATAGGCATTAAAACCCAGTACAGCTGTAGTAGCAATATTTTCCTGATACATCTCCCTGAGCAAGGGAAACAAAAGAAAAAATAAGCAAGTGGGACTACATCAAACTGAAATTTTTAGCACAGCAAAGGAAATCAACTCACTTTGAAAATGAAAAGACAGCCTTGGTTGGTGTGGCTCAGTGGATTGAGTGCTGGCCTGCGAACCAAAAGGTCGCCAGTTCAATTCCCAGTCAGGGCACACGCCTGGGTTGTGGGCCAGGTCCCTGGTTGGGAGGTGTGCGAGAGGAAAGAGGCAACCAACCCGATGTATCTCTTGCACATTGAAGTTTCTGTCCCTTTCTTTCTCCCTCCCTTCCCCTCTCTAAAAATAAAGAAAAGCTTAAAAGAAAATGAAAAGACCGCCCACTGAATGGGTGAACATATTGCCAGTGATACATCTGATAAAGGGTTAATATCCAAAATTTATAAGGAACTTATAAACTCACCACCAAAACCAAACAATCAAATTAAAACATGATC